CATCTGATTGGCTAATGCATAGGAAACACGGTAGTGTAAATCAATAGAAAAGTACAAACCGTTCAAGCACACTTGTTTTACATTTCAGTAACCTGTACTACATACATTCCAATACTCGCTTATTTGAGTGTTCGAAGTCCTATAATCCATTTACAAGAAAATTCCACTCTCTGCTATAAGCCAATATTTGACTATTCGACTTCGATTGATTCAGAAAAGTGCACTTGTCCATACTTGTTAGATGTTGTTCAAAAACTGATTCTTCGTTCGTTGGGAGCAGTTTAGAAAATCATGTATTCGATCTTCACAGTTCACTGGTAAATAAATTTTCATTCCAGCTATGTTGTTTAAGCATTTTCACAATGTAACAGACTGTGCAAATGTAAGCGAGGTATCGCAGGTAGTCTAAGATACGGCAATTGACTACGGCAATTTTTTAGAAATGAAGTCCGTTTGACTTTGGGACAAAATTACTACATCCTCTATGACACGCTCAAGGAGAATAAGAAAAAATAAATAAAATATAACAAAACAGCATTAAAAAGATGACGGAAAAGCTAAGAATGTTCGTATTCTTTGAGCTGGATGCATGCTGTGTCCGACCTGCACCACCCTGCGCTTGAAGTAGAGTTGCCGCCGATATCTGAAATTTTGGGGAAGTGTGATGCGCGGAGGAGGCGGGTTTGGGGAGGTTTAAAAACTAATTTGTAAGATTTTCAATGCGGATTGAGGTGTGTAAAGGCGGGAAGGAAAGTATGTGAAAGAGGGAAATTTATGACTTTGTTTTCCTTGAACCACCTCAGATTGCTCTCCAGGTGTCTTCAAAGCTACCTAATTCCAAAAGAAGTTTTCCACTCTCAGTTCACATTTTCATAATTCTGCGTACATAGTCCTAATTTCCCATTGCGCACTACATACCAACTTTGGTGTCGTGTTCACAAACAAAGAAATGGGAGTCAACACTAGAATTACGAGGAAGAATATTCTAAGAATACTTTTTAACTGCTGTTTTTTTACATAGCTGGTCCAGCCAAGAACTAGACTGATAGTGCAGCATTCTTGGCGCCCATCATCAGTAATTTCCAAGAAAGTTTGAAAAAATAACTAATTTTATAACATCTGAGATTTTTTGAACAACGAGAGACCATCTATGAGAGATTAACAAGTTTGCAATTTTTTTCATGGATTTTTTTTCAGAGCTTTTTTTCCATGAATCCTATGAGGTCAATTCTCACAACGTATCAGGAAAAAATTAACAGGTTTTGGTTCAGAGATATATTTTTGAAATCATATGAGGTGCGCAAGCTTTTGAGACGACTCCAAAACTGTTAGGCTATTTTTTATGAAGGCAAAACAATACAAAATGTTTGCTAGCACATCTAGCTTTTGGCAGTGATCTAAAACATCTCCTTTTCAAATTCTTTCCGGACTGTGACTTCAGCCAGGAAAAAAATGGCAATGATGGCTGAAAGTGCTCCCGTTGCCGCTGCTTCACTCAGATGTTGAGGCCCGAGCTTCCTCTGTTCTGTGTAAACCTAGTACATTCATTGGAAGCAGGATGACATGCTTATGAGGTTAGTATTCATATTTGAGATAATTGAATAGGATAAATAATGCATTTTTGATTGGGAAACGGCTTTAATTGCGTTAGTAGTTAGCAATGCAAACTCTCGGTGCAAACTTAAAATCTGTAGATGAGAATTCAATTTTTTACAGATGGCTATAAGACTGTTAAATCATAGACTTTGTTGTTGAGATAAGGTTTGCTCGCATCCTTTTTCGTATCGTTGACACTGGTAGGTGTTGGAAGCAAGAATGCGCTGCAAGTAGTATCTTTTCAAAATAAGTTTCAAAAGAAAAGTTCTGTCTTGTTTCTATACGATACGACAGAACCTTTTTACAAAAATCTTTAGCCTTTGCTGCACCCTACATTTCGGCAAAAACGCCGCTCTTTAAAGGCCTGGAGAGTGAGTCATTCAATTTCGCTAACGGTACCTGCATTCAACACCTTGTCCACGTATTCGTCTGTTGTGATCGAAGGTTAATGTCCAAGCGGAGTTGATTCACCAAGAATTTTGGTTGAAAAACTAGTACTAATCGTGTAGCGCATTTTGGTTCCCAGCAATCCTGAGGAGTTGCCCCTAAAATATCGTGTCCAATTTGCGGGGATTTTCCTTGCTGGTTAAGTTAGCAGGTCGTCTTCAGTGGAAAGCAAGTAAGCCTACCCCTGGTTCTTCAATCATATTTCGTTTCCATATTCGCATATTGAAGTCAAATTGAGGCGCAAGGGAGCGTAAATGGTGTGGGAGTTTCAAGAAAAGCATAAGAAATAAAGCATTTTCAGTAAATGATTTTTTGTAACAAACTAGAAAACACAGACAACACTAGCTTCGTTTTTATGCTATAACTTTAATAATACGCAAGATATGACAGTGCTATTTACACTTAGTACTAATTTATACCGGATTATACCAAGTTGTTTTTCATATATAGGGGTTCCGCTAAACACTTGCTGCGTAAGGAGAAGAGAGCAGTGTGTTAGGCATCAGTCATACTTCTTTGCCGCGCAATCTTTATTTGCTACGGTTGTTAATAATCTTTTGTAGGCGCTCAATCTGAAAGCAAGAACTGGCATTCACGCGTAAGTCTATGAAAGCTATGTGCCCAGGCAATTGGACTCGAAAAATTGCCAAATCGCGTTTTGCCGCGGTTATGGAGAAATCGCTTGAGATATACTCGGGAACTTAGGGAAGTTTGCGTCCGTCTAAATCTCGCGCTGTTTCGCTCTCTGCATACCGGCACTGCGAGTAATGGTCGTAGCAAGGGCCCTGCTTATGAAATTTATGCCGCTTTGCATTTAAATGCAATTGCAGACTTCAAGCAATTTGCGAAGTCGAGTATAAGTCATGCCTGCCGCTATTCTACAACTTTTCAAATTTTTTTCTATGAAATGCTAGATCAGATATTTAGAGCCAGCGTATTACCTACATTTGATGGTGACTTCAAAAGTAATACAAAACAATTCTCATACGCAATAATGGCGCATACGCAGTCGCTTCGGAAAAGCTTGCTTCGTTTGATTTCTTTGAAAGTTCATTCTCAATAAACCTGTTTGAGCTAAGTTTTACTGCGTGGTTCATGTGGCAATACGATTGAGGAAAGGTTTGGAAATGGTTAGAATCAAATTGTGACGAACTGTTCGTCGGATTGCTTTCGGGTCAGTTCGCTTTCCAATTTCGAATCAAATAATGTATATCGGCCCTTTGAGTTTGGTTCCTTGAAACTTGGACACAGCTATTGCTGTTTAACAACTGGGAGAATCTCAATTTTGCGTTTTAGGTAAACCAATATACAAGTATGAGAGTAAAGTTTCTTCGTTCCCATATTTGCAGGAAATTTGAATCATTCTGCCATAAATATATGGAAAGATCTATGGGAAATAAGTGTGATTACCACTCTGTGAATTATGACACCCATTAGCTGGCATCTACAATGCTCGTCGAGCTTCGACTGCGTTCACAAAGTTTTTCAGTGACCTAGTGACGAATTCGCATAAGTCTAGAGTTCCATATAGAGGCTAGCTTTGTATGTTTTGTACTTTAACACTACAGTTGCCATAACATAATGGTTACTGTTGTCAGATTAAGACCGAGAACTCAATTTTGCTTCAGCTGTGACGGTCGCATTTAAGCCAGTGAGGAAAAAGCTTTTGAGCTGTTGGATTCAGAGTTTTACCCTCTTTTTGATGTTGGAGAGAAACATTTTTCAATATTGCTTATATTTGATAACTTGATAGTAATCACTGTTTGAATTGTCCCAAAGGTTTTTTCTTCCTGTCTTTCATGTACACTTTCGCTTTCATAAAGCTTTGTTGATTCTGTAGTTCCCTATTTTGGAGGGACAACGGGACAGATGCACAAATTTTCCTTTCTGCTTTATTGCCGTGAAATCTACGGCCAGAAAAGAACATGTATTTTACATATGTAATGTTTGCTGGGTACTTTTACTATGAAAGGCTTATGAAGATACAAATACTGAATATAGGTTTTTAGCATAAACATGAGCTATCGTTGTGCATAAGTCAAAAATCATTGACAAAAGGCTGCACGAAACTTTTGGTCTGCCAGAATAGGTTTAAAACATTTATCAAGAAATTCGTTTTTCAAAAGTTTTTTGATTAACATCGGAGAATGACATTATCACTCTCAAAAATGTGTATTTTCTGCCACTTCAAAATAAACGAAAAGTGGTCCCTTTCACTGCTCTTCCTCAAATGGCTGCCCATTTAGCAGAGCTTTGTGCATTTCCAATACATTCCAAATTCACTTATAATTCCTTCATGTGGAAGTTTCTGAAAGATGTTTGGCAATGTTTGCCTAATAAATTTTTCTCGTTTGCTGCCATAATGTTTAGTTATGCAAAATGTGGATTATAACAAACTTCAGTGCACTCGCAATGCTCATTTCTCAAAAAAATTGCGGTGAAACTTAAACTTTAGAAGCGGGTTTGAAGCATCCCAATGTGAAAAGAACAAGAGCACTGTGAAATGTGGTTGGCAATCAACACGACGCAACAGAAATAGTGGTACCTTTGTTTATATTGGGTAACCAATATTTTGATCTTGTAATCTTCAGAGTATCATAATTCACTATAACTCAAAAAAGAGAGATAGGAAAGTGTACACTTCCGAAAAGGAAAGAAAGTGTGGAAAACATATTTTATTATATTCATTACAATCTTTGTTGCCTTTAAGCACTATAGTATTAGAATGTGAACTTTTGCAAAACATTGATTATGAGGTACCTGCATTTTTCAACTATATTGACCCTGTGCTTTTGTATATCTTGGAATTTCACACATAGTGGAACGTTCGTAAGCTCCTCACTTTCTATAGTGAAATTGCACAAAGCAAGACTGCTAATTGCGACGTTTTCTAAATCATTTTTCCTGATTACAGACCTAAATGCGGATCGTAAGACAGTATACCGATTTTTCGTACCGATTATATGCACGCAACATTTACTTCTCATGAATTGTGGGAAAATATCATGCAAACTCAATCTTATAAAGCCTTGTCCAAGGTAATTGTGGTTTTCCTTGTTAATTTTAAAACCTTTTCTTTCCTTTAAGGCATCCTTCAAGGCATTTGCGACACTTCTCGTCAAGGGTTGGGAGGCACAGTTTCTCATCTTCTATGCAGAGCCCTTTTTTCTGACATTTTGGCAAACACTGTAAAAGCGATTAGAATACTCGACAAACAGTACTCACCAAAGTCAAACTTACGCGGGTGTACGTGCGCCCAGTAGCTGGTTTGGACGTTTTGTGAAACTTCTTTACCCATGTTAGAAGACAGGAGGTTTCAGCGGTGCACAAATGTAGGAAGGTCAAAATAAGGAAGAATTTGAAGGACATTGTTTCTGAAGTTTGAGATATAAGCTGAAGTATAACAAACTTCAAATACTGATAGCGTTTAATGGATTCCGGACGCATTTTGGATTAATGTTTGATTTTTTTCGTATTTGCAACGTGACTAAGCGTCCAGATGATATAATTTTTTACAGAGGCACGAATCAGCTAACTTCGCGACAACCTGACTATCCAATTTTTGCGTCATTTAGCGTTCAAGCAATTTTGCTCCGTAAGGTCTTCCTTTTGGAAGTTTGGTTGGTTGCACTGTATATCTCAAAGCTTAGGGGTGCATCTTAGCCCAGATACTGGTAGGTGGCATTCCAGAGACGTTCAGCAGAAAATGGCCAACTGCTTCGACTTCTGTGTGCATAAAATTGCAAAATTTTTTAAATACTGTTAAACAATGTGACTTGCACGTTATATCAAAATTTGGAATCGTTCCTTGCAAAAAAGGGCAGGTATAGCAGAATTTCAGAGTGGCTGCAAACTTTTCTAGCACTACATTGGAATTCCAAAATATTTGAGCGCGGTATTCATTGAAAAAGCCGAAAGGACACTGCAGACAAATTTGAGGGTCATATGTAATCTCTTGATAATGAAAAGGAGTTTGCTCAAGTTGTCGCCATGGCACTGCCTACGATGAGCTTTTAAGATAACTTTGACCTTTCAAGGATAAAAGCCCACCAGCTTCCCCTATGTATTGATCTCCATACAACTTAAGTGATAACGTAGACCACTCTCCACTCCAAGCAGTCGCGGGCCTTCCATATGGACATAAGACATAAGCTATCATATTCGCGAATACGTACCAAAAGTTCTTTTCTTTTTTTGAGGGTGCGGGAGGGGGGAGGGGGGAGGGGAAAGACGTCTGACCCTAACGTGCTCTTCTTCCACCCGTGTGCTCTAAGCTATCGACTATTGCTCTACTGGCCATCCGAAGAAACGTAGAATAATTCTTGGATGGTTGGTGAATTGCCTGCAGTCTGCGCCTTGAGAGTGTATTTTATGGGTTATCTTTGAAGGATAACCATCAGATTTTTTCCCGATTTTTTTGGCCAAACTAAGCGATTTTCTGCCTTCTCAATAACTGGATGAGACGAGTACGTAATCGCGCATATAATCACTTATGCTCAATTTTTGAAACGGTGTATGTCCATATGGGAGACCAAGTGATTGCTTGGAGTAGGGGGTGGTCTACGCTATAGGTTCCTTCATACTACGCCGCAGCACTCCACGTCCTGCGGCGCGCGCCGCTGCAGACGCAGTCAAAATATAAGCTCGCTCGCGTGAAGGAACCTCTCGGAGAACACGAATGTGCAGCAAATATTGACGTACATCCATGACCAGCGAAGCTGCACTGTCGTGAGCGTATACAGTGCTGGCCAAAATTATAGGTCCACTCTAAAAAATGCCATAACTCACCCTGTTGTGAATGAAATTTTCCAAAATTTGGTAGAGACGTGTGTTTACCAACCTACTATCAGTCTTCGAAACGGTTCTCGTTTTCGTTTGATTATTCAAGAAAAAAATTAGAAATTTTGAAAAAAGCAGGCTTGAAGGCTGGCCAAAATTATAGGTCCACCTAGAGTTTTTACTGACTAAAGCACTTTTTAGCTCCCGAATTTTTTTAGGTAGGCACACATCCAAAAACGTTAAACAGCTGCATTGGTCAAGCTGTGTCATACCTCCAAAAAGAACTGATTATCTGCTTTTTTGCCTTGAAGATGCACTCACATGTATTTCGCTCCACAAACCTGCGTTGAGTAAGAAATTCTGCAGTTTCTCAGCTGGATCGGAAAGGACGGGGTTTCATCTATCTTCTGGATGCCTTTTGACGTGAGCATTGAGGAAAAAAACCGACTTTTTGCTGCTGAAGCAAATCTGACATCGGCTTAATCGGCAGATTAAGCCTCAGTTTCTGCCCTAAAACCCTTTATGCGTTGTCATTATAGCCTCAAGATATTGTAGAAGCATTTTTTACAGAAGAATAAAGCTGTTCGCCATACTCGCAAGTGTCCACAAAGCTGCCTACTTCTTTTTCGAAACATGAGTTGTGTGTGCAACATAATAATGGTGTTACGCGATCCAAAATAGCTTTCCAAGTGCTACCTCACTTAGATTTTTGACAGTAATTATTTACTAGATAGTGATACAGCTTGTAGTGTATGTTAGCACATGATTCTTCTGAAAATTTTGGTCGGAGTCACAAGTAGCTTTGGTGTTGTCGTAATCACTTTCTGCGGAGTGATTTCAGTAATTATATTCAAATGCTAGGATCTCTAGAAAGTTGTAACTATGGTATACGGACTCCCCTTCATAGAAACAATGCCTTTACTTTACTCAATGCTTCTGAGGACATTGTAAAAGAAGTTTGAAGGCAGAAATTTGAGCTCAGGATTGCAGTATGTCAATGTCAGATTTGCTTCAGCAGCAAAAAGTCGGATTTTTTCCTCAATGCTCACGTCAAAAAGCATCCAGAAGATAGATGAAACCCCATCCCTTCCGATCCAGCTGAGAAACTGCAGAATTTCTTACTCAACGCAGGTTTGTGGAGCGAAATACATGTGAGTGCATCTTCAAGGCAAAAAAGCAGATAATCCATCCTTTGTGGTGGTATGGCACAGCTTGACTAGAGCAGCTGTTTAACGTTTTTAGATGTGTGCCTACCTAAAAAAATTTGGGAACTAAGAAGCGCTTTAATCAGTAAAAACTCCAGGTGGACCTATAATTTTGACCAGCCTTCAAGCCTGCTTTTTTCAAAATTTCTAATTTTCTCTTGAATAATCAAACGAAAACGAAAACCGTTTTAAAGACTGATAGTAGACTGGTAAACACACGTCTGTACCAAATTTTGGAAAATTCCATTCACAACAGAGTGAGTTATGGCATTTTTTAGAGTGGACCTATAATTTTGGCCAGCACTGTATCACTGCGACCTCAACGGCGCACGCCGCAGGACGCGGCGTGGTGTGAAGCAACCCTACCACTTGTCAGCTGTGTGGAGTTCAACACATAACGAGAGCTGCCAGGCCTTCATGTGTAAGAATCAAGCGGCACTTTCGGTAAGCGTTGACCCATTTTTTTCGTTTTTGTTGTTGCGTCAGCTCCGATTTATGACTATGTGCTATTATATTTTGCCGTCGGATCCGCACGATCAATTTGCACTGTGTATGCTATTCAAAGCAAAATAAAGGCAGCGGGGTTTTCGTACCAGGACTCTATAATTTTCCGATGAACCTCTCGTCCGGGGCTGCCTTTTGGGAATTGGGTAAAACGCTTCAATAACGGCCTTTTAACTGGTTCAAAGCTCAGATTCTGGTTCTGGGTGTCAAAAAGTCCTAAAACACTCATAAAGGTGAAAAAGCAATTTGCCGGAATACTGATATGGAGTGGAAAGATAGATAAATGACTTCCAGATTAATAATCTTCGTAGGAGTTCTAATTTGGCCATATATTGAAGAGATATAATAACATTTAAAATTTTCGACTTCTGGCTGTAGTAAGGCAGACTTGACTGCCTAGAAAGCTTTTGGGCAGTAACCGTTTGAAGGGAGAAAACAGAACGAGCATATATGCTATATAATTTATTTTGAACAGGTTTTAAATATGGAGTGTAAAAAATGGGTTTAAAGACAACAAATAAGTCGAAAAAACGAAATATCTTGGTGAAGAACGCGGTACGACGGCACGGCTATTTAATGGGCATTTCGTTGGAACCGCCACACTTTTGATTTTTGATAGGGAAATTGGTTGCATTTCTACAAAATGGAAGCTGAAGCATAACTAAACCATGGGAAAGAGATCAAAGTTATCAAACACCATTTTGAAGTGCTATAATACTCAACAATAAAATAGACAAAAGCATCAATAATTTAATGCTACATTCGGAAATGGCATAGCGATGAAATCCAAACGCAAAATCATCTGCATAAGCAGAATCCTTTTCTCTTTCATTTATCCTTAGCAGGCTCATATGGCATAAGCAAAAAGGGGTGAGAGCGCAAGGACGATGTTGCTTGGTGCGGCATTGTCACAACTTTTTCTTGCTTTTTTCAACAAAATTAGTCCTCAAAGTAAATTGTTGCTGCAGCTCGGCTCAATATCCTAAATTAAGGTCTAGGTGTTAGTCCTTCCCTACAGTGGTTTTTTATCTGGAATATAATTTATTGTTTACGCTTTTCTCATCCTTCCAACAAACGCCGCTTGACTATATCCTAGTTTGAATTCTTAACAATCCAAATGTTGCAACAGAATCATCAACCTTATTTTCTCATAATTTAGCCAGGGATCTTGCATTATCAGTTTCGAGCTTTCGTCTCCAAATGTTCTTAAATAGTTTAGAACAGTTGCGAGCTAAGCACGTGCCCTTGACGGCAGTGTCTTGAAAATGCACATTAAGGTAACCTGCAATATGCCCCATCTACCAGGAAAACGAACTTATGTGGAAGCACTCTAAATAAGTGTGATAAGCTGTGCACATGCCCGTATTGCTGCTGGGGCATCGTCGCCGGTCAGAAGCCTGAATTTACATTAAACATCGAAACACCTAATGAAAGGCGAGCATATTTTGACCATATGAAGCATGTCACTACAACTGACTGCTTTACTGATGGCTTTCTTCAGAAAGCAATAATTAAAACATTTGATATTTGGCAAGAAAGTTCATAATAAGGGCAAACTTCCATATCATTTCAACCTATTGGCTGACCTATTGCGCATTCACCCAACATCACAACACTCGAATTGTTGACGGCGAGACCTTACGGTCACTTTTGTCAAAAGAGACTTTTCGCGTTACCACTGTAATTTAACCTGAACAAATGAAGAGTACTAAACGAAAGCTCAACGCAAACTTTACAAAATCTCTACCAAATAATTCTAGCATCCTTCCACCTGCACCCGCACCATTCGTGGTTAGTAATCAAATGGAAACGTTTACCGAAAATATGTCATACTTTGATCTTAGAAATCCTAATTCTTGCCAAAGATGGCAAGATGTATTTTTTTATCCTCGCATGTGTTCCGCTTATGCAGGGTCTGCTTTTCTTGTCAGACGTCTCCACGTCGTCCTATCTAAGGCAAGGTCTTCGTCTATACCAAGTTCTCGCAGGTCGGCCTTGATTTTGTCCATCCACTTCATCTTGGATTTACGTTTTGGTCTTTCGCCTGGTGCCTCCACAGCCAGGGTCAACTTTGTGATGTGACTCTCATCCCTTCTGCGCAGATGCCCATGCCATCGTTACCTCTTTTCCTGCATTTTCTGGACAATTGAAGCTACTTTCTTTTGCGCTCGTGTGGTGTCATTGCAGATGTGATCCTTCAGTGGTTCCTTTCCTATGGTTCAACGTAGCATCTTTGTTTCCATGACATTGGGCTTGAGCTCCTCGTTCCGCGTACAAGGCCAGCACTTACTGCCATACAGTGCTGCTGGACGAATAACGGTCCGGTATAGTTGGGACTTGAGATGCAGTGGCATTCTTCATTCTTATGTCGTCAAAACTCCTTCAACGCTCTCCATTTCATCCATGCTGTGTTCATCCTGCTTGCAACCACCTCTTTAAGCCTCCCTCCGCTGAGATGTGACTGCCTAGGTACTTGTATAACGTTGTCTTCTTTAGCTCCTCACCATCGATGCTTATGGTACCAGGAGTTTGTTTCCCAACTTCCATGTATTCTGTCTTCCTGGTGTTGAGCTTCAGGCCATACAACTCTAACCTGTTCTTCTAGTCTTGTACCTTGTCTTGTAGCTCCTTTCTGGTAATTGCTATAAAGACCACATCATCTGCGTTGAGTCCAAGGAGGTTCACGTATGAGCGATTTTATCACGGCGTTCATCACAGTGATGAAGAGCAAGGGAGAGGGGACTGAACCTTGGTGTACTCCAACTTGCAATTTTTTCGATTGCCCTGCGGCTGTTTGCATGTGTTTTGAAGCGTTGTGGTAGATCATCTTTATCCACTGAACGTACTCCTCTGGCACCCTGTGTTTTCGTAAGGTTTTCGTAAAGCCACCATATGACTTCATGGGGCACCTTATCAAAGGCTTTCTCCAGGTCCAGGAGAAAGCTGCATGCAATTCCTTCTGCTTATCTCTATCTCTCCATCACTATTCGAGCGGAGTGGATTGCGTCGGCTGTATTTGATCCTTTCACGAATCCGCACTGATTCGGTGACAATTCTATGGTATCTCGAAGACGCGTTTGGATGAGCAATCCGAGAGTTTTAGGCCCGCTCACTTATTAACTTGCGGACACCCGCGGCCCTGATAGTGCCAGGAAGCAGCATTAGAGCCGCAAGGTGCTCGCAATAATTGCCTGAATATAGTATGTTACACTACAATGATGTAAGTTTGGCTTAAACTTTCACAGTTTTCAAAAGGTGATGATGTTTAGTTGCACAACCAAAGCAGGTTTGAAGGCATCACATACTCACTGTGTTCTAGAAATCTTCTGTTTCCGAAATAAAAACGTGTTTATTCACAAAAGCACCTAGACTCATTGAGTTGACTATGTGTTACTGGTGATGCAGAATCGCAAAACATGTTTCAAATTTGATCAGAAAATTAGATGTGTCCGGCTTTTCCCCCTTTCCTTTGTTCGCAGTGGAAAGCAATCATGTGTCAGGCCTCTTCTTCGTAATTTGTTTGTGAGCAAAAGTGCACTGCGAAGGGCATGTTGCGACTAAAAGGATCAGCAAAGGACTGAATTTACTCATAATTTTAAGGAAGTGGTGCAAAAATCCTCTTAATAGAAGGATATTCTGCATTATTCTATAAGCGGCTCCCAAATCGTGGTGAGGCAGAGCTGCGCTGGCGCCTCTTGCGTTGTGGTTGCCCTGTGCTGAGGCATATCTGATCCATCGGTTTTTGTTAATCATCATGGATTTGCTTCGCCACAGTGGGTAGTCGACAATATATCTGCATTGTCAATGGACTGTATTTTTGGACAGATTTTCTCCTCAGATTTCCGAAAAATCATGCTTCGGAAACGAATCGAAGTTAGGTGTACAATGTAGGTTCGGTATTCACGCAACAAATTATGAATTTCCAACCATTTGCATGGCCATAGATGGTCAAATTCGACGATCTGGAATGCAGTCCGAGAACTTATGTAATGGCTTTTCATGGACTCCGAGACTGACATGGGATATCTTTTTGAAGAAGCATTATAATGAGATGGAAATACTTACTTACTTAGATACTTAGTTGGCCCGTCCTCACGTGACGTGCGGGCCCCAGTACAGAAGTTACCATTGTTCCTTGTGACTCGCTTCAGAAATCCACGATCTTCTTGGCCGACGTCATGGCTGCGTCCACGAGGTCCAGGGGCAAAAGTTGTATCCAGCTGATTAATCAGCTGCTCCATCTGTTCCACGAGCACGTCCGCCCATCACGCCGGTGTCTTCCTCAAGGACGTTTGCTTCGCGAGGAATCCACTCAGATGTTCTTACTGTCCATCTGTCGTCTGTTCTTCTCATTATATGACCGGCCCATCGGTGTTTGGCTTTCACAGCGTATTCTGCTGGGTCACGAAGACGGATTCCTCTTATATCCGTACTGCGAAGTCAGACTAGATGTTGTTTGCGTCGGGTCATTTTTAAAAGAATGCGCTCGAGCGCTCTTCGGGTGGTCCGTGAAGCTTTCGACGTGGCTACAGTGTCGGCCTAAGTCTCAGCTGCGTAACAGAGCGCCGGGAGAACGGTTGAGTCGAACAAGTGGGCACAAAGCTCCAGGTCCGTCAGTTGGTCGGTGGCTTCCTTCAGAGGCCCGAAGGCGGCTCAGGCTGCTCTTCTTCTCCCGTTAAGTTTTTTCCTCAGGTCGTACTCCATGTTCATCGAATTCCATTTCTGCATCTTCGCAAAGGGCGTTCCTTATGAACTGAGTCCTTTTCCGATTTATTCGCAATCCGATCTTCTTCCTTACTTCGTTCAGTTCCTTCAGCATCGTCTCTGCTTCACCGATAGTGGTCGGAAAGAGAACGATGTCGTCCGCAAAACGATGGTTCGACAGGAATCTCCCATCAACTCGTATGCCTCTCTCGTCCCAGTCCAGTGACTTCATCACCCACTGCAAGGCCGCGGTGAACAGCTTCGGCGAAATTGTGTTGCCTTGTCGGACCCCCTTCTCAACTGGTATGGCCGGGGGGGATGGAACAGCTGCATCGTCGTTGTACAATCCTTGTGGCAGTCGGTTAACGTCCTCACGTAAGCTGGGTCCACTCCTTAATCGACCAGCGCAGACAGGATGGCGTTGGTTTCGACGCTGTAAAACGCTTTCTCGTAATCGACAAAGGTTAGGACGAGAGGCAGTCGGTACTCCCGGCAGACTGTCTGGATATGATCCATGCA